TTTTCTTTCATGATTCTAGGGGGACCATTGGTCACTTGTCCCGCGGCGAGTTGTTCTGAGGCGAGTTGACCGCGGCGAGGTGGCCATGGCGAGTCGTCGTAGACCAGGGGTCTTCAAACTTGGCCCTTTTGACTTGTGGACTTCAACTCCCAGAATTCCTCAGCCAGGCAGTGCCTGGCTGAGGAATTCTGGGAGTTGGAGTCCACAAGTCATAAAAGAGCCAGGTTTGAAGACCCCTGTCGTAGACCCACAGAGGCAGGTGTCAAAGATTTGGCTGGGTGGCATAAAAAGGTTAGCGAGCTCAGGGAAGAGAGAAAAGGGCAAAATGGCACCTGCCTCAGATTCACTTCAAAATAAAATCTAATGAAGAAGACACCCCTCCCCCCCCCCCCCCCCCGCTTCTCTGGTCTCCCCCGGCTGTTTCTCCAGCCGACCACAAGAGTCAGATTTTGTGGGTGCATCAGTTGTGAGGAAAGCCTTCAGGAGCACAGATCTCCTGGGCCAAGACTTGTCTTTTGTGGCGGAGGTTTCCTTTCCTTTCACACCCGGACACCCCCAGCCCACCCGTCTCCAGACACGCATCTTCCGCCTTCTTCTCTCCTTCCGCCAACGCGACGCTTCTTAAGGCAAATTCCTTTTGGAGCAGAGCCGCTTCAGTGTTCCAAACCGCGGAGCCAAGCGGAAGTCCGCGGTGGGTGGAAGAACGGGGGAAGTCAGGGGTGGGGCCGGGAGAAGGAGAAGCGACTTCACATGCAGATGGGCAACGGACCCCCCGCTTAAGCCTGGGAGGCAGGGAAACTGCTGCTGTCCGGCAGCACGTCCTGGTGGGCCTCCAGACGGGCCAGGCGGCTCTGTTCCAGGGCAATCGCTTCCGCCGAGTGTTTGCATTTCTCCGAACCGCACTGGCAGGTGAAGTATTTGCTTTTGATGTCCCAGAAACGGTCCCCGTAGTCAAATCTGCAGCCCGGATTACATGGGGGGGGAAAAACAACGACATAAAGATGATGTCAAAGCAAGAATATTCAATATTCAATATTCATGACCCCAAAATAGGGGAGGGGAAATGTCTGGAATGTTATGTGCAAAGGAAGGGAAATTCAGATCTTAGCATGTTGTGCTGACACTCTGTAATACTAATAAAAGCTTTTAGGTTAAAAAAAATGCCTGAAAGTTCTTTGAAGTGTTTCGTTAATCAGACACATGACAGATGACTTAGTTCAGCCTGAAAACCTGGAACGATCCAGCTTTTTTAAAACCCTGAAGTGTTCGGGGACAAAATATCTCACGGGTCAGGTCTCCTTCCTCTCTTTTACGGATGGATGGATTCTCGTCAGCCTTCCCAGGCAGACCAGACAGGATACACAACCGGATGAGCTAATTCTACTTTATTTTATTATTATTTTTTTAAATTTTTTTTATTGAGTTTATATAGATGGGGAAAAATAGGAACAATACAGGTATGGTAAAGGGAGGGGTTATATTGAGAGTAAATATGGTACTAAAAAAAATCACTTGGTTTTTGAGTAAATTTTAGAGTATTAATGTAGTTTATATGGTATAATAGGTCACTTATTTTTACTTATAATTATTAATATGATGTTATAATTATTGTGTTTAATATTAGTATATTTGTTTAAAAGAGAGTTAAAGGATGTTACAGATTTGTTAATCTAATAGTTGATTAATGTTAGA